ATTTACAGGATGAGTATTTACATGATGAAATATAATAGGATAAATAAATAAGTATATAAGTATTTAAACAGGTCAGGAGACATCTCGTGTCCAGCAGGAAAACTTGAAAAAACACTTGAACACTTGAAATGAACATAATTTCCATATTATATGTGTATATATATGAACTATATACATAGTTCTGTAATTTTTAATAAGGTACAAGGAGTAAAAGCCTTTAAGGGAGGATTTCTTTGCAGAAAAATAATAAATAAATGAGATACACATTGTTTCAAGCAGACTGTATAGGTTGTCATACAGTTCTGGAGGGGATCTTTAAATCCCTCTGACAGAGTTTGAGACACACTGTTAAACCACATGAAAGTTAATCCTTTGAAGTTAGTAAAGGTCATTTGCTCCCAGGGCTTCTCCTGCCGTGTCCTGTCCTGTCCTTATTGCCCTGATTAAGTGTCATATGTTTCAGGAACTGCTTATGTACTATTACAGTTCCTCATTAAGCACCAACCCTCCTGACCTCCATGTCTCCTGTTAGTGTTAAAAGGAACAGGCTCCAGACGAGGCTAATTTATGGTCTGCTGCTGCTCTGTTGTCACTCATCTTGTAACTCTGCAGGCCTAGAATAAAACAGAATAGGACAAATTCTTATACCTTCTGTTTGTGGTGATTGATTACATGAAAATAAGGTTAACTGCGTTTAGGTGGAGGCTTTCACCCGTTTCTTATTGTAGTCTGTTACATTGATGGACAAATCAATATAATTTTATTCCTGTTGCAAACTAAAAGGAGGCTCTGGGGAGGTCTTTTGGTCTTTATTCTCCTGAGCAAATAAAACAAGCCACAATGCACACGTTAAATGAGCAGGAGAGAACATAGTTGTAGAGCAAGGGAGAGGAGTGGTGAGGTTGTGGGTTAAGATTGGTGAATACCAGTGAAGTAGACATCATATTGAAGCTTAACTTCCATGTGGATGGGTATTACTGTAAATTAAAGAGCATTAGGAACTTACAGCAATTTTTGAGGGTATTTTGCATACAAATTGCAGTATTTCACAGCAACCCAATTCAGTAAAAAATTTAAAATGACCTCTTAACTACTCTGAGGTTCTCTACTCTACTTACACCACATTAAATTGATTATCTAGAGTCAATGCGCAGTGTAGAGAATTATGAAAGAACCAACTTCAGACTACCACTTGAATGAAAAGGAATCATGAACCGGAGAGATTATGTGCAAAAGAAAGACCTTTCAATCTCAAATGTTAAGCCAACATGGACAAGAGGCCTCTGAAGTGCTCAGAACAATTTAAATGTGCACAAATACAGTCCCATGACAATTGGGAAAGATGTTTGTGTGACACAGTTTTGTCAACTCCTGTTTCCATTGTTAAAATGAACTTTCAGTTGAAGTTTATGATGACTAATATCATGGTCATCAATGTTTGAAGATACAGATCAAGTGATTATTTCTGCTATGAACTTAATGATTTAAAACATGAAGCTGTTACATTTTTATTTGGACTCTGTGGTGCTTTTTATTGACTTTGGTTTACACTGAGTTGTAAAGGTTTTATGTCACATCGCTTCTCTGAGACTGTATATGCTGTATAAGTAAGTATGTGAGAAATATTCAAAATGAATGATATGAACCAATTGAAAAATATGCTGCCAGTTATTATAAAATACTTAAAAATCATGACGTTTGCTTTTAAATAAGTTGACATAATGTAACCTATAACATACCATCTTTAAATTGACCAGTGTGACTTTAATCACCATGTGTTATTTGATATGAATTTGCCGTACTGTGTCTGTGCTCAGTGCCCATGCTTTCTACAGTTAGGACTAGGTCAACCCACATTGCTCTAGGAGACATAAGAAGAGGGAGTTTGGGGAAGAAGCTTCTCATCTTTTATGCCTCCGCTGAGTGTTCAGGCTTGTCCACTTCAATTTAACACAACTTTGAGAGTTGTCAGACAACCGTTCCATTCCTCCACACTTGGAGAGCAGAGGAGCCAGAGTGGGCAGTTAAAATGGGAAAAATTTAATTCAAGAAGAAATGCTAAGGGATTTTCTGCCCCAAAATTGTGTGTTCAGCCTTTTCTCTTTATTTTGTGGTACAACCTGTGCTTGTGATCTGTGTCTTGTTTACCTTTTCAACCCACCGTAACATCAGATTCAAAGTCAATACAAAACTTCATGGCAGATCTTCAACAGTGCACAGGCCTATATCACTTGGAGGTTATGCCACAAGGTGTGGAGCTAATTATGTGGTGTAAGCAGAGATGAGCTATCAGGAATCATGATAAAAAAACAACAACTTTTACAGTTTGAATTTCATGTGTATTGGTGCATTTGGCATTTGAATGGCAAGCAGAAAGAATAGATTAAAGAAGTATTTTACTGGATCAGAAACAGTGCTGCTGCATGTCAATGAAATCATGTTTTTTAAATTACAATATGCTAATATTACTTTAGTATCTGAGAAAACGTTGGTATCTGAAAAAGCTAGATAAACTTTGAACACTGTTATATAAACTAAATTTTGAATTCTTGAATGTAGCTGTATGTTTTCCTTTGCTACAACATATAAAATAATATATACATTCTTTATATACATAAAACGATATAAAAACATAATAAAGACAAAAATCAGTAAGAAAGAAAGAAGTAGAAAAATGAATAGTAAAAATGAATCCCCCAAGAGGAATGAATTAGGGATTTTTTCTGAAGTTGCCATTATGACCTTGTGTTCAACAACTGCATACCATTTGAAAAACAGACAGACATTTAAATCCCTCCTGTAGCTGTATAGGCAGGAAATGTGTTTCAAATTAAAAGTAGGCCTATTATCATAGTTGTGCTTCAATATACACAATTTCTTGGCCACCTAACGATATTTAAATCATCCTTTCAGATGAAGCTCATGCTCACAGGATTTGTTCAAATTAAATCACTGACTTGAGTAGAATTTGACAAAGCATGAAAAAAGCTCATTACACTTGATTACAAAATAACAAGAAATAATGAAATAACTGTTACAAACTGATTATATCAAGTATTCTATTTTAGGATGGCTTTTTCCTTTAACTGGGATGCTCCATTTACACACAAGGGATGCTCATACACTTTGTGACTCACTGAGACAGACATATGGGCTGAATTCAAACCAAGCAAGCACCTATGGGACATTAGCAAATGGACAGACACATGGATGAAACTATTATCTTCCCTGTTAAGAATGTGCGCGAGTGTGCGCGTGTGCAAGTCTGCACATGCACATACTGTTGTGTTAAAGTGTGTAAAATAGTCATTTACGTTCTCCAGCGAAGTGTGTGTGTTTCTGTGCGGAATATGTTCTGTGAGCATTTGCAGCTGAAGTCATTTGCATTCATTTGGTCTGATGGAATAACAAAGCATAACATAGCATTTCGTAACAGAGTGGCTACTCGTCCTGGGAGTCTAATCCCCACAGACTTGACATCAGAGATAGAACATGTCAGTCACACAGCTGTAACACAGGGAGGACGAGCGGCAAAAAGGCGACAAAGCTTTAAAAATAGGCTGTCATTGTAAAACTGTGGTGGTTTTAGGTGAAGGAAAAATTGTAGGTGTTGTGAACATGTCATCTTACAGTTAAAAAGTCGCAAAAATAAGCTGCTTTTTTACTTACATGGAACAAGTCTATTTTAGCCCATTAGCTAATTAGCACTATACACAAAGTAGATAATGAATTTTTATAAGCTTTGAAGGTATTAGGTCATGATTTAAAGAATTAGACAAATTAAAATTTTGACCTGATGAAAGCACTAAAAAAAGTTCACCAAAGTTAAAATATGATCACTGATAACTGTGAATACATTTATTAGTGTA